GGATCCCCTCTATTTCGAATTTCTGGATCCGTCACTACAGTAGTAGCTATATTTGATATTGACATCGGAAGTACACATCCATGAAGTCATCAGTATTGATAAAGACGGTGTACACTGTCATTTGGTCCTACTTCGATCACTTTCGCTGTCCTTTAAAAAGTATAGAAAAATATTTTTGTCGGGCTATAACAAATTTTGATTATTCAAGGTTAAAAGTTGTGCACCAGATAATTATAGATTGGTAAGCTGGCAAGATACGTTTCTTTAGCCAGTTTCTTTTATGGTTTTAGCGAGTCACTTGGAATGTTGTTGAATGGAATGCAGCCATGTCAGTGCATGCTTGATTGTCAATGCCTTCAATGCGGCTGCCTAACAAACTCAGTCAAAATAATAACCATAGAATGGTGACAAAATTCCGATTTAACTAGTGAATTAACGATGCAAAATGTTCAATACTGTACTCACATTTTTTATTAATTTTAAAGTCTCCTTCGTAGACCATTGAGTAATGTTTATATGTAGAACGCCACCTGGAGTTGTATAAAAAAACAAATCATTATTCTTTTTCTTAATGACCATTCCTTTATGACGATGAGGGTGATGATGATGATGATGATAATAATAATCATAATAATAATAATAAAATGATAATAATAATAATGGTATGATGATATTGATGATATTAATGGCGATGTTGATCATGATGATGGTGTGGTGGCGGTGGTGGTTGATGTTGATGACGGTTGACGATTATGATGATGATGGCGATGATGATGATGGTGATGATGATGCCGATAATTATTATTATGTTGATGATTATAAGAATCGACTTTTAAAAAAAGACTCCGATGGAATCAGTGTAGGCTCTTATGTGACACAAAGGTATTAATGGTCAAGCCGGACACAGGCCCTAATTACTTGCAATCAAAATTTATTACGGTACCCTTTTATGTGCTATTTCCCGGCAGAGGAGCCATTTTTCAACCATGGTATTGTGTCCGCCAATTGAGGGGACCGGGTAGTTACTCTACTGGTTACCAGCATGGGCGAAGATCATGGGGAGACGGAGGACACGTTCCCCACATATTTTTAAGGGGTTTTGGTAACACTAACTTTTCGACCGCAACGTAATTTCATAAAGATGCCTGAACGTTGTTGAATTGTGCACAATTAATGACCCAGGTTTTAACGGAAGAGCGCTGTACAGCCAATATGTACAGTACAATACATCTTATCTTATAGAAGATTCCGGTAGGCCTATCTCTGCCCACTAACATCTGAATTATCTGTAATACACGGCTCGAGTGCGCGTGCCTTTATTATAATTTGAGAAGTGTGAGAAAAAACATAAGATTGGTTTTCGGCACACGAAGTAGGTAAATTAAAGTAAATATTTCAAAGACAATTAAGTTTTATTTTCTATGGTACAATACATAAGTTAATTAGATCACTATTATTGCCGGAAATTGCAGATAAAAGATCATGGTGATGTGATGATGATGAATTTTAGTATATAACATTGACAGTCCGGCCATCTTCTGGTGTAGGGTCTAATATTCCTCAACCATGATGAAGCTGAGGTGGGTGTCGACTCACGGCTTTGAAGTAAGTAAAGTGAAGTAAATACTGTACATAAAAAAGACAATGTTTTTAAGTTTTAATTTCTATGGTACATCACGCATATCAATCACAGTAGATCTCTATGGTTGGGGAAAATCGATGATAAAAGATCATGAGAATTTGTTCGCGCTTCATTTTTACTATAATGGTGATGTGATGATGACGAATGTTACTATATAAGTGACATTCCCGGCTATGAGAGGTACTATTTCCCACAATTTTCGCACCCATGGTGGGTTTGAGATGGGTGTGGACTCGCATCTTATCTTTGAAGTAAATACATCTAAAACAATGTTTTTAAGTCTTATTTTATGGTCTCATCACATATACTAATGACTCTATGGTTGCCGAAAATCGATGATAAAAGAAAAATTTGCTGGCGCTTTACTTTGACCATAATGGCGATGTGATGATGAATTTTACTAAAGAGTGTCATTTTCTGCCATCTAGAGGTACTATTTCCTCAAATGTTTGCATCTCAGCTTAACCATGGTGTGGCTGAGGTGGGTATGGACTCTTCCCCCATCCCGCTCTTATAATGGCCGGACCACTTGCAAAATGCTTCCGACGAAAAAGTACACATATTGGATTGAACGTTATTGATTTTATAGAGAAAATCGTTAACTGGTAAAATGCAATTAATAAACTTATATTGAAAATATCTAACTTTTGTAGACAGTGAGGAGTTAAATACATTAAGGTAAATTTCAGGACATTCAAGGTCAAAACAGTTGAAATCCTTGCTCCATTTCAATTCAACAGAAGGGATCTTGAAAATTTGTTTAGTACAATGAGAGTGGATGTGTTTACCAAATTGTTTCCAATCATGGGAGGAACAGCAATGTTAAAAAAAAAATCAAGCCAAACTAATAAATCAAACAAACAGCGGAAGATTAAACTCGTCAGCAACATTGAGGAAAACTTCGTCCATTGGAAAACATTATAATAACATACAGAAATGCATTTATCATTCATTATTTTACATATTTATATATACATACATACACACACACATACA